GGATACATTGAATGATGTGTGAAATGGTAAATGTAATTAATCCTTCAACAAAACAAACCGTAAAAGGAGTACCCATTCCCATCCAGCCTTCTGTTTTCTGCTTATCATACCTTTTCAATTTTGCTTAATTTTCATTAGTCATATGGAAAGATAGTGCAATACCTTGGGACCAAAATATCTAACAAACTGGGACCAAAATAGTTCATTCACTCTATATTCTGTGTCGTATGGTTTTACATAAGAATTCCGTAGTCATAGCATGTTGCAATAGTGTAAATGCAACTTTGTATTTGGTTTGTGTATAAAACTTAGTCTACCTGGTGAATGCTTTTTTCTTTCTTTTCAGCTTCAGTGTTTGAGTCGTATTAGATTGTTAAAGAATTCAGCAAAAAGGCTTCCTAGATATAGCCGATTTTTTACTTCCAAGGTTCGTGCATGTTTCTCCATAATTTCATCAGTTAACTTTTTTTAGTTACATTTCCTTTTCTGTTCTAAATTATTGTGTTTTAGTGCTGCCTTTGTTATATCAACTTTGAAATTTGAACACAATTTTCTGAAATATAATGTTTTTTTTTTTTTTTTGAAACTTTACATATTTCTGAGTATGCACTGCATTTGTTAAGGTATTTTTCATTCTTTTCGTGTTGGTATGTTGAAACAGACAATGTGGCTATCTGAAATATTCAGTATTGCAGGGCAGGTCAGTATAGCATTTGCATAGGTTTTTTCTGCTTCCCATCTCCATATACATATGATGAATGCAATTAAGAAGTCTAATGTGTGGTAGCATTTTATAGCAGATTTTCTGGAAATTTTCAATAGGCAAATTCAGTTGATCTTTATACTGAACGATGGGATGACATTATTAAGAATTGAAAAGTAACATTTCCTTGGTTGTTTTTCTTTTGTTGTTTTCTTTTTCTTTCTCCTTGAAATGGCTGTTTTTCTTTTATTGTTTTTTGTTTCTTTCTTCTTCTTCTTTTCCTGTCTGCCTTCTGTTATCTATGTGGTAATTGCAAATTGCAAACTCTGCTGCTTCTTCAAAATTTGTATTAGTTTATAAAATATCCATAGAACACATACATAATGACTAAATTCTTTCTCATAAGCAGGTACCAGTATGCATAGCAGAAATAACATCTTTAGGGGGCGATTTACTTTAGTTAATCTTGTGAACTCTGAGCTAAATCGAGTCCTTAATTTTCGTGTACATTTTATTTTTTGTTGTCTACTAGGCGGTTTACATAGTTTTTAACCATTATATCACCTAACTTTATGTTTACAATTGTGTTGTTTCTGATTGTTGATAGAAATTCAATTTAAATGCTTTTGAAAAGGTAGAGATAGAACCATGACTTATAGTTCCTTTAATCTCGCAGCAATGCGCAGTAATCAATTTCTAGTTTAATCTAAAAGTAAAACAGGGGTAAAATTATATTTCAGCTCCAATCCTAATCTGGGAGCTCGGGAGCCGTCATACGGTAATGACTGATTATCTGAAAAAGCTGATCATCAATCATAAGCTGCAATTCAAACCTCGTTGAGAGTAAAATTACAGAAAAAATGCCATTTCTCTTAACTTTAGAGATTTTTCAATGTGACCGGCACACGATGTGGTATATCATGTGTCATTATATAAATTGTGGGATATGTATATTAAAAAGTTAACAACTTAAAAAAAAAAAAAAACAATTCCCACCACTGACATAAAAACATGTGATGTAACACTCGTATTTCCGTCACAATAAAATATTCCTAAACCTACGCTCCCTCCTCTCTCCTCTTCAACTTCCCATCGACAAATGTAAGTTCTTCCTGCAATTTTTGTTTCTGGGTTCCTTAAAATTTGTGTATTTTTGTATGAAATTTGCTCTTTTCGATCAGCGGGTATTGTTGTTCCATAAAATTTAATTTAATTTTCTTATTTTATTTTCATTTGGTTTTTTGGATTATCTATTGTGGTTATTTTTGTTTTTCGTTCTGTGAATTTAAGGTTACTATGATGTTTTTTTTTGTGTATTTTTGTTGCTTGAACATGTATTGTGAATGGATATTGGATTTGTGGTTGGGATTTATAAGGTGCTTTGCTTCTTGTTGGGTTTAACTGGGTTAATTGGTCGGATTGTGTAGTCTGACCGAGAGATGGGAAAAAATGGTTTGCTTGGGGTGTGTAATATCTGCCGAGCTCCTATATGAGCTCCCATAGAAGGATTGGAGCTGGAATACAAATTTACATCTGCTTTTAACAAACCTCTAACATAAATCTTACTTTTGTTTTGTCGCTAACGATTTTGACCACAAGAGTTTAATTCCTAAATTTTTTTACCACATGGGTCACCATGCAAGTGCCCTATGACCACGACGATGGTTAAATGTCTGATAAGATTGAATTGCCCATTGGTAATATTCACTAATTATGTCTTTGAACTTTTACAGGTTACTATTAATATTAATTTTATGATTCCCCAATTAAGAAAAGATAATGGCAGATTTTGGGCTCATGTTCTCGTCTACTTTGTACCGGCTCTCTCCAGCGGTAGTCTTATTAAAAAAATTAAAAAAAAACTGTTATTATTATTATTAGTATTGTTTTTTTTAGTACATCAATATTTTTACATTAAGATGAGGAGGAGCTCGACAAATCCACACAATGGGCAGCCTAATTTGGTATCGAATTCGTCATTCACAAGATTCGAACCTAAGACCTCTCACTTTCAAGTGAAAGATGAATACTATCAAACCATAGGACTGTTTGACTATTATTAGTATTGTTTTACATAATGAAATATCACCCTTTGTGGGGAATTTAGGGCCGGCGAATATTATGATACAAATGTGAGAAATTATTTTGCATATACATGTTACATCTAGTGGCAAAGTTAGGAATTGTTTGAGAGGTGTGAATTTAAAAAAGTGCTAGATTAAAAAAATATGGCAAAAATCAAATCTTTTTATGTAGTAGTGTCGTCCATAACTTATCAATACAAATAAGTTACAATTGCCGGCAATAAAAACGTCGCATAATAGGCTCCTTACTAATAAAAGTAAATACATCTTTCTCAATGTAAACAATCATGCTATCATTCAACCATTGGTCTCTTATTTTGTTACGCAATGGTCTTTTCATAATTTTCATAGCAAGAAAGCTCTCTCCGCCGAACTAGTAGCAACCGGTAACACCAGAGTCAATTTAAGAAGCCTATACATTAACTTATAGCTTGCACATCTCCCGGTCTTCACCAACTCCTTTGCAAGATCACTTATTCCTTTCAAAGATGAAAATTTACCATGCATCTTCATATACTATATGCCTAATAACTAATTAAACCAACAATTCAATTAATCAATACTAATAATCATATGAATATTCAATAACAAAATTTCAATTCAATTCAATATCAATAATCAAGAATTCAAAATTTACCCTAAATAACAATTTCATTCATCAATACTCATCAGATTTCATATCAATAACCAATAACCATGTTAATTAATTACTCTATAATTATATATCAATTAAACAAAATTTTGTATTAAATAATCAATTCGGTTAGGGATGACATAAATTTAGAAATTAAAAAAATTTACTTAAAATTTTGGAGAGAAGGGGCCAAAGATGGCAGCTGGCTGGAGGATGGTTGGCGGCTGGGCTGGGTTAGCTTGAAGTCTGGAAGCAAGGAAGGGCAACGGGCTGCTGCGCTGCTGGGATTTCTCCTCTCCAGTTGGTTTTCAAAGTGGGAAAGTAGAAAATCGAACAGAGTAATGCTATTCATACCATGTTTTTATACCACATTTCTATAACACCTTAGGTGGCATCTGATGTAGACAACCTCATCATTTGAAAAATTTATAAAACCAAGGAAATGAAGAAGAAAGACTCCTCATATACCACAATCATCATTTAATTAACTAATTTTTCTTAATTATTATTTTATTAAATAATAAACTAAAATTAAAAATCTAATTAATTCAAATGATGTGATTGTCCATATCAAATGCTACCTAAGATCATGTGGTACAAAAACATGGTATGAATAGCATTACTCAATGGAACAGGGTGGGGAAGAGTGAAGGCAACAGGGGCCAAACAACGTCGTTTTGACCTGGTTTTTAAGAAAAAAAATAGAACTCTGTGCAGTAGGGCTGCATGGCAACAATGGAACCTAGAAAAACAGACCAACTTCATCACTTACGATAGGACCAGAGGGGCGGAACCATAGAAGCTGACAGCCCCTCCTTGCCCCTATGTAGCTTTGCTCCTGGTTGCATCATCATCTTATACCCAATGCATGCAAAAATAACATTTTTAATAAATTTAAGAAAATAAAAGTATCATATGTGATGGTTGATAATTGAATTTCATTTTAATAATTTAAAAAAAAAATATTTAACTGTGAATCGCCACATCACCCTTTATTAAACAATGCCTACGCCTCTAGTTTCCTTGTAGTGAAAATTTGTTACATGAAATAAGAAAAAAATAAGAATGAAAGAGACGCTTTTTGGCACGCATGCAGATGCAGGCATGCATGCATCTCATGAATGCGTAGATTATACCAGGTAATAATGCTCGCGCGTTGCTGTGAGATTAGAAGTTGCTGTGAGATTAGAAATCAGCTGTAGTAAATAAATTTGAGCTATTAGATGTATGTTGGTATAATATTGATTATTGACCTTTTGTTCTGAATCAAAAACACTCATTCCAAAATACAATCCCAAGAACCCTTTCCAGGTAGTTGAACACCAAGAAGAATGCTAATTCTAACATTAAAATTCAATTTTTCTCCATGTTAAAAAGCATGCAAGCAGAGATAAAGGGCGTAGTTCTATTACCGGTAGGATTAGCTTACAAAGACATATACACTGTTCTGAATCATGGTTTCCCTTGTATGCATACTTAGAGAACTGTAGCTGTGGGAGTAAATAAAAAATACATGCTAAACTTAGAATCCATTGATATGCATAACGCAAACAGAGTCGCAACAGAGACAATCGCAACAGAGACAATCAAGTTTATTAAATATGTTTTAGATAAGTACTTGGCTTGTGGTATAAGTAAAAATTTTCCTCAAACGTAATGGCTACTTTCATGAGTTATTGTAATTCTTCTTGACCAGATACAGAAGAGTGACTTCTCAATGTATTCGATCTTTACATGTAACACTTATAACAAAATCCATTGACTAATCATTAAAACAAGGCACATGTAGGTGGAATTATACAAAAGTTAATTCAGGATGAATTAATCCAGTAATTTCTATGAAAAAAATGCATCAAGGTATGCACAAAATCTGTGTGAGGAAACAAATATCCAGCTGTACTGAGACTTGAATCATGCTCAAACCAATTCGGTCTAATACGTAAGAAACTTCATATTTGAATACCTGAATGGCTTTCCCCCACCACCTGGTTTCATGGATTGCCAGAAGCCATGGTCCCAGATCTCAACTTAAACAATTATTTGTATTTAATCTGCCAAAGCTTACTAAAAACTTTTAACCTTTCCAAATTTAATAGACTTGCAATAAGAAACAGAATAAGTTCCTCCTCTGTCTTTATGTCTCACATTGAGTCCCAAATAATCCAACTGCTACCCATTTGTGTTACCATCGCATACTAAACGAAACCTACATATAAGGGAGGAAATCCAAAAAATAGAACTCTCAAACCATAATTCATGCCTGCACAAAACCGTTATCTTCTCATGTTGCATCACCTGGGCCATCATATACCCACCCACAACCACGATAACATCATGTTATTTAATGACACACAACCATTCCACTCAGAAGCTGTCCACACACGGTACACTATCCGGAGAAAAAAAGTATGCAGGAATTTCTAAATTAAACCTACATATACAACAACAACAACAACAAAGCCTTTTCCCACTAAGTGGGTGGGGGGTTGAAATGTAGTAAATAAATTAAACCTACATATAAGGAAAGAAATTCAAAAGGTGCAAACATAATTACTGGACAAAGCACATCATATTTTCAACTTCATTTCAACCCCCCACCAACAATTTAATACTACGAAGTCATTCAAGTTCGAAAATAATATAAAAACTGACATGCCAAACTTGAATTAAGCAGTTATACGACATGAATACAGAATTAAAAAGAAAACTAACATCATACTATAAATTTTGAGCCCACTACCTTATCACTTACATCCCTTACATCCCCTGATCAGTCGAAGCATTTCCAATACATTAGACCTGCGACATACACAACACACATCACTTTAATAATCACCATTGCAAACAAAGAACAAAACATATTCATATAAGAAATCAAACAAACAAAAAACTGAAAACATTCGCTCGAAGAAACATGTTTCCTGCTATTGTGGGTCTCAAAAGTTTGCTGATGGAACCCTTTTGTGCCTTGAGTTTTTTGCCCTTGATTTAGAGGCATGCACAGAAGATAATCACAGCTAAGTTAGTTAGCAAGATTTTGAATAATTAATAATTATCGCATATGATAGAAGGTTAAGGTTCTAGCTGTGAAACTATGCTGCATTGGATTTTTCCCATATGGTTTACTAATCAACCCTAATTGTGCAACTAAGCTACTGGCAGGATTCAGAGATAAATATCAAAACGTTATGCAATTCAATCAGAAAAGCATTGAAATGCTTAGCTTTTAGTCTTAACACACTTTTCTTCTTTAGAGAAGAGAGGCATGGGAAAGCAATAGGAAGAGTCTGACAGGATTTTCTATAAACCAGATTTGCAATTGAATGTGGGGTTGGGCCACTTCACAATAGGTGCTCACTTATTACTTCAAATAACTATTAATTAAAAAGAATAAGAAACTATATATATACGTGTGTGTACAATGGCAGCAGATACGGATATTAGTAATGGTGGAGATCAAAATCCCAACGGATCAGATAGGTGAAAGAGAGAGGAAGCAATATAGGTCATACATGAATATGTACAGTTTTCCTTCTTCAACTAAAGCATTTAAATTCCTCTAATCTTCACCTTTTATAACCATAAAGACAACAATCCCAGATTTTGGGTTGAACAACCAGTCAAATTTAAAATGAAAGTACAGTTTTGCTTAATTCCTTTTGCTGATTGATGCAGCACATACTTGTCACTTGAAATTTATAATTACATCATTTGTAAAAATTATCGGAATCAAACCAAAAAACTAGAGAAATTAACAACCCTAACTACTAATCGAAGAACAACATATGCAAGCCATAATCAACCATTACACATATTTGGACAAACAATTTACGAAATCAGTGTATGACAAAGAGAAAGCAATCGCACACTTGCAATAACACTTCTTATTAGTAAAGCTAAACTACAAAAGCACCAGCAAGTTATGCCTTGAACAACCGAGGGTCGAATACATCTACTCTACACTATAAACAAAAATTCGCAGGGATGTGCACCATTAATTCGATCCAAGATCTTAGAGTCCATCTAGTAATAAGTACTAACATAACTACGGAATGAAAAAATACAAAAACTTCAATCTCAAACTGTTTGCTGATCTTAAAACAAAATCCATGCAACTGAACCTAACTAATACACAGCTCGGCTGAGCCAAAGATTTCAATTTACTGGACACAAAAGCAAAAAGTCACAGAATTTTATTAAGAATTTTTTTCGTACGTTTTCTCGGCTACCAAACAATGGAACCCAGATTATCAATGAACGCCCCACCCCCCCCCCCCCCCCAAAATTCATTGAAAAAGAAAATCTAATTGCTTGCATTAAAAGACCTCGACAGACAGTTGACTAACATAATACAAATTCGTATCTGTAAAAGTAGACTCCATTTAAATAAGAATAATTAGGTTTAGGGGAGAAATACCCAAACAGTTAAGCCTTCACTTCTACATGTTTTGGTCCTTGCTGCAAAAAAGCAGGTCTGTCGTTATGCATAGCAGATTTTTTTTTCTTGCTGGTCCAGCAACGACAACTAACACAACAGGCACAATTAAAAGTTCAACCACTTCTTCACCAAAAAACCTACTTTACACAAATTTATTGAATAAGAATCCAAATAATTAGATTAAATCCAAAATTAAAACAAAGATCAGAAAATGAAATTGAAATTGAACGAAATTATCATTGCGGTACCAACCAAAAAAAAAAAACCCAGAAATCTAAATTAATAAAAAAAAAAATCCACACAACCCAAAAACCCACCCCAGTTGAATCGAATAAATCCCAGCAAACTCAAATTAAAAAAATGTGAAATTACCGAATAATTTTGGACATAAGGGTTTAGGACGAAGAAATGAGTGAGAGTATGAAGGACCTTTTGCACTGGTAATAGGGAAGCTGTCAAGAATTTCTTTTCACCAAGAAACTCCTATTGGCTCGTGGTAAGGAAAATATTGAGGGAAAACCTAGACGAGGAAAGCAGAAAATGGAGAACAGATGAGTCGACGGAGAGAAAGAAAGAATGCAGGACGCGTGGACTGGATGGGTAGAATCGGGAATTCACTGCACTCCAAAGGAAAAATCACGACAAAAGCTAAGAAAATCCGAGGGCATTATCGCCCTTTCACTGTTCACAAACAGTGAAAGACGGTGCTAGGGGAAGCCTGTTTTAGTATATGTATAACTCGATAGTAATGCCCGCGCATTGCGGCGGGATAGAAATCGGCTGCAATATAAGAATTTGAGCTAATAAATACCTGCATACTCTTTCACTCTTTCCTTAGGTTCTGTCTATTGACTGTGAATTGTAAACAACAACATTATCAACAATGTTTATCCTCGGTACGCAAAAAAAATTAAAAGAAAGAGGCCTAAAATTTTAGCATGACAGATGAGATTATAAATGTTATTCGAATGAATAGTGATAGAATGAAGCAAACTATATGCACTGGTTAACTGAGACTCACCCAAAACAGAGGAAATACATGCATACTCTTTCACTCTTTCCCTAGGTTCTGTCCACTGACTATGAATTGTAAACAACAACATTATCAACAATGTTTACACTCGGTACGCAGAAAATTTTAAAAGAAAAGAGGCCCAAAATTTTAGCATAACAAATGAGATTATAAATGTTATTAAAATGAGTTGTGATGGAATGCAGTGCGGATTTTTAGATGGTCACATTAATCTCCTGCATTTATCTATGTCAATATCTCCTTATGAGATGTGAATGCGGTAACCTATAAATTGTTTGAATTCCACAAACAACTACACACCAATTCTCAAACTGCACAACTACTAAATTACAAAAGTACTGTATCGATGACTGAAATGATCTTTAAAGCATCTAGGTACCCAGGTTTTCGATTAAAAAACTTATCCAATTGAATTCAATTTGAAAAATGATCTCTCGGGCATCTAGGTACACATGCATGCATTCAAGTGCACAAACACACTCAAATGAGTTATGAATTAACAGAAAACATACCAAAGGCAGTGAGAAGTTGTACGTCGATGTTAGACATGAAACTTAGCTGATTCAACTAAGCAGACCGGCTAACCATAATGCTCAGACCTGGATCATATTTAAAAATACCAATAAATCATCATGACCTCAATCAAATATAATCAAGATAAGAAAAACATAACAGGCACAGATCACATAATAGAAAAGAAGTTTCACAACTCATCCACAATCATCAACAGCTAAATTAAACCCAAAAATTAATCATGATCATCCATTTGTATATCAAACCATGACAATGATTTAAAATTTATTCCTAATCCATCAAACTTTTGAAATTTTTACAAACCAAGTTCAATTTACTACACAGAAAATCCAACAATACAGAAAATCCATACCTTTAACGCCAAGAAAACCTTCACAATATGAGAGGTTAAGTCAATCTACCACACAAAACTCAGATGCAGATTTACATCAAGCATTAAACTTTTCAAAAATTTGAATCAAATTTCATAGCAAAAGGCAAAAATCATCCACAATGAGGCAAAACCCAGATGAAAAAACTCACCATTGATCGTCAAATCCCACCACCAGATCTTCGAATGCCACCACAGAAGCCAAATAGAAGTGGAGAGAGAGAGAGAGAAAGGAGAACATGCAAGACTGCGAGGTCCAAACGGTGTCAAGAACCATATTTAAGCTTTGGTCTCCGATGTTTCAGTGGAGGATAAGAATCAAATGAAGAGTGACAGATGAGGAGAGGAGAGAAGAGAAGACCAGAATTTTGTTCTACCAAGCCAACAACAGAACATGGGAATGAGAAGAAACAAAGGGTATTTCCACCATTTCACTATTCACAAACAATGAAAAACAATGTCGGTCGAACTGAGTTTTAGTATATAGATAATTTGGAACTGAATATTAGGTTTTACTTTTCCTTAATTTCTCTGTTCTGGAGTAGGATTCTCTTTCCTCTTTTTTTCTCTCCCCTTTCCTTTCCTCCTAATTGAACGGTCACGGTTAAACCACGTCAACATCTTATATTTATTTTTTATAGAAAGAGAAAGACAAAATAAAGAATGTAAGAGAAGGAAATGAAAAGGAATGGAAAAAAGAGGGGAGAGAATCATAGTCCCTTTGTTGTATCTTATTTGGTTTAGTATTAACTGGATGTAACGGTAGCCGTGTCATTGGTGAGATTCTTCCCTTTCAACCGTGAGGAAATTAAACTCTGTTAAGGAAACATATGGATCCGTTTGCAGAGTATTATGTCCAAACAAGACAATTTGAATATTTCTTGGCCATAACTTATTATCATCCTTGTATAAGTGCACCATGTAGTCATCTTAAATACAACCTTTCTAATAAGGGTAATGCTAGAGATATCATCTATTTAACTTATATTTTATAAATCATATGATGTGATTATTGATGATATAATTATTATTTAAGTGATGATTTATGTGTTTATTTTTTATTAGTGACACATCTTTGTAAATGTAATGTAAAAACTTGATCTACTTAGCATTACTATTCTAATAAGCACCAAAACCTATCTCTTTTTTAGTTTGATAGCTCAACAATTTAATTAAATACCGCAAATTGTTTCAAAGGTGACCCTTAATTTTATAGTACTATCAAAATTGTTGTAAGAAATTCCTACAATTTTTTAAGAAAAACAGAACAAACTAATTCTTGTAAACGATTTGCAGTATAATGCTAGGAAGAATCAAATTTTAAACCAAATGATGTGGCTGTTGATGATTAAATTATTACTAAGTGTTGTTTAACGTGCTTATTTCCTATTAGTGATACATCATTTAGTTTGCAAATCTAGTTTAAAATTTGATCTACCTAACATTTCATTTGGTCAAGAACCAAACATCGCCGTACACATGGTCTAAAATATTCATAATATCCCAATATTTCCATCGAAATTTCCGTGTTTTTGGATTACCGATATTTTTTTGGACAACCGATATTTCCGATATCATCGATATTTTAGACTTTGCTAAGTTACTCATGTATCTTATCATGCAATGTATAAAGTGTAAAATATTGTACTAATTCATTATATATAAATGATTATGGTGTGTTTAAACTTCTTTCATTAATTACTACATATTTTCTACAGTCACAATGTTTGCCAGCTCGTTATATAATCAACTTAAATCAGTTATATCTATCATGCAATGCATTTCCTTCCAATTTTTTGTGATAAACTAATAGATAATTGACTAAATAAACATCCTGCAAAGTTTCAATAAAAATTTCTAAGTTTTTCTTATAATTTCTGTGGTTTTTATTCAATTTTTATCGATATCGATAATATCCCGATATTTCCATCGAAATTTCCATGTTTTTGAACTACCGATATTTCCGATATCATCGATATTTTATACCTTGGGCGTACATGAACGATGATTAAGGTTTTTTTTTTTTTTTTAAGTTTAAGAGAGATGAGTATTGGTTCATCACTAATCACATTAATATTATTCCCACTTAATCACTCATGTAATTAATGTTGAATTATCTGAGAGACGGGTCAAAAGCCCACTTACAATAACACTGATATTATCTCCAACTTGCTAATTACCACATGCGCAATCCGACATATGGGGGTTTTACCACAAAATACCTTGGTATTAGTTGGAGTAGGGTTAGGATATTTAAACTCTTCTTTTCTCAAAGATACAGTCAATGCGAGATATTTTGGATGATGCTAAGGAGACCAAAATTTTAAAACAAATTTGCAAACCAAATGATGTTTCACCAATAAGAAATAAGCACGTTAATCAACGCTTAAGTAACAATCCAATCATCAATAACCACATCATTTGGTTTGCAGATTTTGTTTAAAAAAAAATTAATCTCCCTAACATTATCTGAATATTTCAGTAATTAATGGGTGTGAAGACTTTATACAAAAGACCTTGATTCAATTAAAAGTTAAAGTTGAAGTTGTAATTTATTTTGTTGATCGGCGGTGTGCGAGATTTTTCACATAAATCAACATGGTTTAATAGTCTGTATAAAGTTTCTCTTTTTCTACTGCTACTACTAATATATTTCATGCATGAACATTGGACTATTCAGTTGTCAAATGCTGCTGCAAGGCATCGCATGTCACACCTGTACAATCCCATAACAACATCAAAATTCAATCGAAGTGTGTGAAAGTTGTTGATAGATACAACTACTATAACTTATAAGACAGACAAAAAAAAAAAAACAAAAACAAAAACAAAAACAAAAAAGGAAAGGAAAGGAAAGTCAAAACCCATTACCTCTCAATTCAACAGAACGATAAGTTTTCTCTCACTGTTTTTTATTTTGCCCTTCTAACTCTTTCGCTTTCCTTTTATTTGCTTCCCGGCCGTGTCATTAGGGGTGGGCACGATGCGGTTCGGTACGGTTTCGAGTGAAATCACAACCGAAACCGAAACTTTTTGCGGTGCGGTGCGGTGCGGATTTGAAGCCAAAACTTAAATGAAACCAAACCGTTTGATTCGGTTCGGTGCGGTTTCAAACGGTTTCGGTTTGGTTTTTGAGAAAAAAAATGTACAATTTAAAATATACACTTATTTATGCATAAGACGGTCTTATTTCCTCATATTAATTAAGACGGTCTTATGTCCTAACTTTGATTAATATTAATACTTACTAAAGAAATGTCCTAACTTTGAATTTCAATGCCATAATATTAATGAGTTTTTTTTTTTGTCAGATTGGCATGTTGAATTCAATGCCATAATCCACCAGTGCTCCAAAATAGAACAGAACAAAATAATTCAATGCCATAATCGACTAGAGAACAACAAAACAGAAATAAACAAATGAAGAAAGAAAGTGCTAATGTTATTTTGTTATTCCAGCCCCCTCAAATTCAATATGACCGATGCTCATTGTCATTGCTCAGTGCTTACAACAGAAATAAACATATCCAGTAAATATTTGTTTATTTAGGCTCAAAGTGAGTTGCTTATTTGAATCACATATCCAGTAAATATTTGTTTGAGTTAGTGTAGTCTCCATGATGAAACTCGTATGATTCCCAACCCAATAAACACATATTTAGAAAATGTAACAGCTTGTCTATAAGGTTCCCCAACCGACAAAAAAAAGGTCAGAGAACATGTTTCATCTCGTCCCATATTAAAGATTCAAAACTAGATGATAATGATAGTCTAGTAACCTAATT